GGTTAGACATACAACATGTGACAAGAATCCTGAGCTCATACATGAGCAGACTAGAACCGCACTCTCCTCCATAAAGAAAGTGGCTTGCTATTTGCAGGGCACATCCGACATGGTCCTACGCTATGAGCGAAAAGGTGAGTTCACCACGGTGTTCAGCAGATGGAAACACCTTGATGTGGGAGTGAAGGCCAGTCACAGACCACATGTGTTGGAGTTGTTCTCTGATACATCCAAAAGTTCCCGGAGGTCGACATCATCAGGTTTGATCTTCCACAACGGGAACTGCATACATTCCCACAGTCGAGGACAGATGTCCATTGCTTTGTCATCGATGGAAGCAGAGGTGTTGGCCGCAGCCGGACTTCTTGCAGAAGGAATCATGTTGAAGCAGGGCCTACAATTCCTGCTTGGTTGCCGGCAAGATCCAGGAGATGAATCCATGGTTGAGATGAAGTTGTATTTGGATTCCACAAGTGCTCAGGCCTTTTTCCAGAGGATTGGACCTGGAAGAGCCAAACACCTTTGCACCAGAATTCTATGGGGGCAGGAAGCAATGAGAAGAGGCTGGTATCGAATCACTCGCATAGCAACAAAAGACAATCCAGCCGACCTGAACACCAAGTCCCTCAGTCGAGAGAGAAGGGAATACTTGTCGAAGCTCATTGGACTATGGAGTTCAAGTTTCAAAGAGGAGGTGATGCCAACAGTTCAGCGGATCATTCATGTTCTTTTGACAGCTGGACTACTCAAAGGATGCAGCAATGATGAAGCCTCAGAGATGACATGTGGAGGAATGAGGCAAGCCGTAGTTCACAATACATGGAGCCTACACATTTTGTGCTGGGCAGTTTTCATTTTGATGAGTGTGATCGCCATCCTAGTCTTCAACATGCAAAGAATGAGGACACAGTTGGCGAAATACAGGTGCGTGTGGCGAGGCCTAAAGAAGGAGCTGGCGCTGAAGAGGCGTGAGAATCCATTTCTCATGGCAGAAGGAGAAGGTGAAGAGTCGGCCCATTCAGATAACGATGATGAAGACTATGATGATTATGGTGATGATGAAGGAGAAGGACATGGTGGCTACAACAGTCACCATGGTGAAGACGGTTCAGCAGAAGGAGGCTACTTTGAAGGAGGACTTCATTCACACCTCTCACATGTTTCAGGAGGTGGAAATGGCGATGTTGCAGGTGGACCAAACCCGTACTATGAGGACGCACCACAGACAGGAGATGTAGAAGAGAGGCCCATGAAGAGAAGAAAATGTGTGCATGAAGGTGTTCATGCCATGGAGAACCCAGATGAAGATGAAGAGGTAGAAGAAGATGAACAACGACAACAGCCATCAAGTTCCTCAAGGGGCATGGATGCAGAGACAGCACAGCAGACAGTTTCTGACTTTGTGGCCGAAGAGCCAAGACAGTTCTTGAATCCGCAAGATGAGATGCCAGAGGCCATTGTGATGGTGCAGAGTGGTTCGTCCTTGGTTCAATGAGGACAATGGTGGACAATGGTGGTTTGGGGACTTGAGGGAGTTCCCATTTTTTCCAGAAGATCTTCAGAAGTTGAGGACAAGGTTGTTGAACGAAAGTCATGGGCCAGAGGTGTCGTTGACACTAGCATGTTGCAATTTGAATGAGCGCACCCGAGAGCTGGAGATGACAAGAGATGCTACATTTCGAGATGACATCAGGTCAGGCCGCAGCTGCCGTGATAACTTTCAATAAGTGGATCGAGAGTGGCAGCAGCCTTTCGTTCTTCTCAGATAATGAGACAACTTCAGGAAGTGAATGTGAAGTTGATGAGAATGCCAATGAGGACACCAGCAACAGACCCAACGAGGCCGACATCAATGGACCCTTGGAAGAAAGTGAAGATCCCAGTGCATGGATTGCGCATCACTATGGTGAAGACGAACTAGAGGAAATGGTGTTCGAAGATGAGGACGAAGGAAATGATGGGTGAAGAACATGTTCACCCACAAGAGCACTCAATGCTTGTGGCAATGAAGAAAACAAGTGAGTGATGAGAGATTTGTTTCGCGAATTTAGAATGTGAAGATGTGAAGTAATACTTCATTAGTTCCATGAAGTCTTAAGGCGGGGTGTCACAAGTTAGTAGAGCAGACATGACCCCTGCGCAAGGATGACACGTACAGTCAAGAGCAGTAAAGTATCTGTTCTTATCGACGCATCAAGTGGCTCAAAATCGAGGTCACAAAAGAACCGAGTTCCGTGAGAGTTTTGAATGCGACGAAAGCAAGGATCAGGGCCTTTGTATCGCGGAGCGACGGAGAGCGATGTTGCGTGTCGACTTGAAGAGCTTGACAAATCCTGCAAGGGACAGGAACATGGCTGCTCACGTTGAACGATTCTTCATCCATTGCTCGCATTGAAGGAGACTCGGAGCCACATCGAGGACATCCGCGACTGGATTCAAAGGTATGGGCAACCACCGCTGGAGCAGTAGCAGTAGATGCAAGTTGCTCGACCCAGGTCATTGACTTCAGCCCCTGGAGTGAGGTGAAATGTGGAGGCCAGTGTCGTGAATGCTGCAACGTGACCAGGTCGCTTCCTCTCGCCCAGGATAACGGCAGATTTCTATGGCTGCTCAGCCCGTGGAGGCGACTGCATTTGCAAGGGCTACATTTGTGGAACCACCGCCAATCCCAAGAGCTGAGACAAAGGCCAGGAATGAGCCACCTAGGCCGGAACCAGTGGAGCTGCGACCAAAGTCAAGATCATCGAGGCGCCGCCGCCATCGGAACAGAAGTCAGAGTCGATCACCTCAGAGAGGTCGACGTCGCTCACGGAGGGACCCTTGCGAGAAAGATTCGCAGCCATGACCACGACCTTCGAGTTTACAAAGCTCTACTGCCATTGCTGTCCCACCTGGTGTGATCGTTCAGATCGTTCGAAGACGTGGGAGAACCGTGACGAGCGAGGCAGTCGCTATGGCCGTGCTGATTGGAGTGAACAGCATGAACCCAGAGATCGAGGTTGAGTGGACAAGAAGTGGGTTGACAAAAGTTGGGTTGAACCTCGGAAAAGTCAGCCAAGCCCAAGGAAGGTGTCGATGAACCACGATCCGCGGGAGGAGGTCATGGAGGAACCCTTCGTACGAGAGCTGAAGGAGTGTGTTGATTTACCGGGGCCAAACCATTCCTCAGAGTGGTCAGGAATGCACTGCCCGCAGGTTCTGGTTCTGGCGAGACCTCATGATGCCGCGTTGCTTTTTCAACAGCGAACAAATCCTACAGAGTTGACTCCTGCGCACTTTGACGAACTCGTTGCATTGGCCCGACACCACAAAAGCCAGGTGATGTTGGATGGCCCGCGTGAGATCTCAGAAGTCCATATCATTTGTCCTCACAAAAGCTGAATGTGTTTCAATGGTGGGAGGCTGTCCAGATGGGCTGGTTCGTCACATACAGACCAAGATGGTAGGTGATGAGTGCGACGTGAAAATCAGACCAGGTAACTCAATGATGTTTTTGGTTACACGTTCCCTCGGCAACCTGCTGAGTGTGGGATGGAACTATGTCACATCCACCCCTGCGGCCACGATTCAGAAGATCAAGATCTAAGGGATCATTGACGATGTCAAAGGTGACAAGTCAACTCAGGTTTGCAACTGGGGGGACCCCCATGCGTTGCAGCAGTATGAGCAACCAAAGATGTGCGTGGAAAAACTCGAAAACACAATTCCACAGGTGAGGCGGCAGCGGAGAGGAACTTGAAATACAGGATGCAAGATCCACTTTAGCGAGGGGTGCCCGCATTTTGCACTGGCATCGCACTTTGAATTGTGCTGTGTGTACATGAGCAAGGCGGGCGTGTCAGGTTGTCATGAGATGCACATGGAGTCAAACACTCATGCATGACACAGCGCAAATCGAGACATGTGCCGCAAACAGGACGGCCGGAGTTTGGTCATACTAGGCCCTAGGCTGGTATGCTGCCATTGGTCATGACGGCAGGTTGCTGTTGTCAGGCTGTCATGTTGACATGTTGTTGCTTCACTGGCATGGGGCACACTAACATGCTGACACGTTGTCAACCGGGTCATGTTGTGACGCTACCTTGCTTGCGGGTTTCCAAGGCCGGTTCTGGAAGAGGTTCCTTAATTCGTGTTGGTTTGCCGCAAGCTGCTCAAGCAGCTGCTCCCAAACAATTCAGGGGCGTGTTCTGGATCTTGCTCTCAAACCTGCCCCTGACCCTGCTGTAGGACCTGCTCCGTATTCCTGTCACGAACCTTGTTCCCTCCCGCGCTGGCGCGCGAGGCCAGGTTGATCATCAACACACAAGGAGTTCTTAATTATTTAATTGCATGTGCCACGGAACCAGCTTTGGCTCTGAAAATGTGCATTGCATGACAGCAACTAGGCCCTGCTCTGGGAGGGGCTTTGGTGGAAAGCCGGGTGTGCACCCACCGTCCTTGCACGACCCTTCGATCGATGCAACTTCGCATGAAACCCGCAGCATGTTCTGGACGAATTCCTATATATTCCTATGCCTCAATGCTGCTTTGTCAGCCCCCATGACAATGAAAAGATTGCTTGCCCGACACCGATATCAACATTTTTAATGGAAGTTGGGGCACTTGTGAAGGTGCTGGCACATGTATGTGGAATAGTGCCTGGCGAACGCAAGAAGGTTATTTGTACGGCAGGAAAGGCCGGACAAAAATGGGGCCATGGTTCCACCACCACTGTCAAGCACAATGTGCGGTTTTGGATCCATTTGGTTTGGTGGTTAGCCTTTTGTCGGATGATTCCGTAGGGCTGCTTCGTGAGCTGACATTTTGGGTGGTCTATGCGGCCAATATGTACTGGAATGTGCTAATGCAGGAATGATGCCACTTCATACTTCCATTTGGGCTGCACGGCAGCCTTTTTTTCCGGGGGTGCATTAGTTTTCTGAAGACGTGGTGCGAGCCAGTGCGCGGTGCGCAATTCACTGAAGCCGTCTATTGAAGCTTGGCTACGCGCCATTCACGGATGCAGTCGCTATCATGGCAAGGCTGGCTCATGTTGCGCAGCTGTGGGGGACTGTTTTTGTTTGCGTTTCAACCGAGGCCCTGGCGAGTACGAAACTCAATTTTTGGCAGATTTGATTAGTGATTTGATGCAGCATTGCAAGTGCTCATGGATGTCAGGTCACTGTTGCTTTTGTGGCGACCGTGCTCGCAGTAGGCCAACCCTGATTTTGATGCAGTTTCTGTGCTGAGCCTTTTTTCCCCAAAAAGGTCAAATCCATGATGCACATGCAGTAGTCCTCCAAGAGGCTCGGACAAATATTGTTAGCTCGGCCCGCTCGGCAAGATTCGATGCCAGCATTTTACCAATCATCCGACATGCGGCGCAATCACTAGTTGTTCCGCTCTAGGCGACCCTGCGGCGGAACCCCATCTCCAAAGTTATTGGCATGTTGGAATCGATGGAAAAGAAGGTGAGTGAGCTAGTGAGATGGGAGACTCTGTGCAGCTGGTGAAACAGCAGGTCAAGCAGGAAGCTGACGAGAAACACAGAGTTTATGACAAGTGCGACCGGCTCTGAATGTTTTTTTGAAAGCAATATGTTTTGTGATGAGAGTCTTTGGTTTCAGGTACATGTGCTATTGCAAGCAGACAGGTGAATCGCTGATCTCCCAACTGGCCGAGGTAGGTGAAGTTTGTTCGTGTCATTCTTCCTCGTGGTTCATGCAATGTTTTTGGAACACACCTGTCCAGTTGCTCGAGTGTGTCAGTGAGCGCCTGCAGTGAATTCACTGCATGACTGCATTGTATTGCAGGCAGCGAAATCCCTTCCACAATTGCGGTCTCGAAAGCAGGAGGTTCCTTACTCTTACTGAATTCAGGTCAAGTTCAAGTTGTAGCCCTTTGCAGAGAACGCTGTGAGAGGTATCTGCTCTGCAAGCCTCACTGGAGGTTGAAATTGAACAGCACAAGAAGGAGTTGGCAGACAACGTGACAACCATTCACATCAGTTTGGAAAATCCTTTGGGATGCATGCAGTTGCATGGCAGGTCAGCTAGAGGTTTGCGTTGGATTCCGTGCACCTTTTGATTCTAGAACTTGCCGACACATGTTGGCAGATAAGGGGACCTGGCGCGCGTCACGAGAGGATAGAGAAGATGCTCAAAGTGCACTGTCAAGTGCTGCTGAAATACGCAAGAAGGACTTCGTGTTGTGTGCCGGATTGTTTTCGAGTGGGTATGCCAGCAGTTCTTGAGCATGGGCTTGGGGTTTCGGGTTGTCCCCTGTCAAGGAGGCAGACACATTCCTGAAGGCAGGTTTGTGATGCCGGTGAATGGAATTCAAGCGACAGATGCGTTTGCTGGCCGCCCCACGAGGACTCTCAGAATCAACAGGAGTCCCTTAATTCACTCACTGAAGTAGTGTGCTCGGCCTTGAACGCATTTTTGGAAGGCGTGGTTTTGCCAAAGTGGTCATGTGATTCAGCCCAGGCCATCAGGGCGTTGCAGAAGAATCAAGAAGTCGCATTCCTTCAATCGAGCAGCGCATCCATCCTTAGGAGGTGCCCTTTGAGGAGACCGAACATGCGACTTGTGCCACTGATGTCTCACGAACTGTTGCAGGCTATCTTTGTCAGCGGACTGCAGCCAAGATTCTGACATGGTATGTAAATTATGTAACCATTGTCCGGCTTTGGCGCTATTCAAGCTTGTTTCAATCAGTTTGCTGTGGTCTGAGGACATGACAACCACGAACCGGGACTTGCTGTCATCCTTTCTCTCTGCCAGAGGCATGAGCAAGAGAGTGACTCAAAATCGTCTATTGAACATGATGATGGTGTGCGAGGTGGGCCGAGCAGTCAAATTCTAGGGATGTTGAAGCAAATGAAAGAGGACCTGCTTGGCACTGCTTGGAGCTGGAAAGCGGCTGCTCTGGCAGACTCATGCCATGCATTCGATTGTGCTGATGGGAGGACATGGGAAGTGACTTGAAAGAGATGAAGGATTCTGAGCAGCAGCGGCTTGCAGAGTCATTTGCTCGGCCTTTCATGTTGCATTCCTTTTTGGGGGGGTCTAGTCCGCCACTCCACGATATTTGAGGCGCTAGGGTGTGCAGCCCATTGATCTCATCCAAAAAGCTTGATGATCCACATTGCTGAGCGTTGCTAGCCCGCCTGAGCCTGTCCCTCCCGGACAAGGCACTTGAGCCTCATGGAAGCAAAGCGGAAGCAACAGCAGGTGGCCATGAAAGCCATGGAAGAAAAGCAGGGACCTTAGACACAGTGGGATGGCGACGCAGCCTTTGATGCTCCATGATTCTTCTTGGTTTGCGCGAAGTGCTCTGCGAAGGATGCTGCGGTTGGGGGAGTTGAAGGTGGAAATGCAAGTTCTCAAAGATGACCTCAAGGACTTTGTATGGCCGTATCAGTCTGTCTCTGTCTCCTGTCCTTGGGTGCAGCTAGTCGAAGCATGGGCTTGGTTTGGCCCTTGTGATGCTCTCTAAGTTGGGTGTGACAGGATCAAGCAGAAGCTCAGAAGGACACCCGCCAAGCGTTTCCATTGGGTTGCCACTGTTGATTGGATAGCCAAATCCTCATGGATGGAACTTCTGACCGGTACAGTATGCCCTGTAGGCTCGGTGGACTTAGTAGGGCCAACCTAAGCGCCGACCACTCAATTGCGAGGAGAATCAGCAGTTCGCCACCGACTTGAACAAGACGTGCGAAGACAAAGAGCAGGCATGCGGGAGTGCCACACGAGAAAAACCGAATGTAGATAGGACCGCTGATCCTCGGATTTTGCATGTTTGGATCGGCGCGCCGATCCACTCGGAGTCCGCGACAGGCGTGGAGCGAGTACCAGGCCTTGCAGGCTCAGGAGCTGGAGGCCTTGAGTGAGACGGTGGGGAGCCACAGCTCGCAAGTCATAGGCTGTACTGAAGAACTTCAATATTCATGAAACATGAAACGCAGCTTGTGCCTGTGAAACCTTTGGGTCATCGTCCTTACCCTTGGTGGTGCCCTCTCAATTGTTGCTCATCAAGCACCCATTGTATACTTATTAGACTAGCTCAAGGCCGTTCAATATACTGTAATTGGTAGCTTGGTCTGTGAATTGAACATGTACTTGCTTGGTTCACTGGCATGCATGCCAGCTCATTAACAATTGACTCCAGAACATTTGCATGCTTTGGCCTTTGGGCACGCTAGGGCCATTTCTTGAGATTCTCACGTCTCACATATGCCGAGCCCGGAAGTACTTTGGCCCACAGGCACAGAACTCATGCCAAGGTTGAGTTCCTGAGCAAAGACCAGGTTCGGGACGCCGTCGGAGATGCTACGAAGGGAGCAGAGACGGCCAGGACCCCCTTCGTTCGCCCCACCGGTGGCGAACCCAAATCGCCTCGGCTCGGTCCAGGACTCCCAGCTTCGGAAACCTCCGCGCGATCGCCTCAGAGTGGAAGGTCGGGGAATCCGTCGGGGAAGCTCCACGATTCGTGCCACTTGTTGGTGAGCCGGCTGAGCGGCACACAAGCTCTGATGCCGACGTGACATATCACCAAGCCAACCAGTGCCACTATCTGGGATGCCTCCTGTTCTTGGATCGAGTCATTCCTGACCCCTTTTTGGCGCTGTTGCACTGCCATGGTTCGGGAAATCTGTCTCACGACGTTCATGGACCGGAGCCAACAAACTGGTGACATAGAATTCCTGATCAAGCCGTCAAAACAAGACAGCACCACTTTCTTTCGCGTTGTGGTGAAGTAGCTCGGTTCCAGCTCTTGTCAAATAGCAAGCAGTTGGGGTGAAGACCACTGGCAGCTGGCTGCTTTGTAAGGCTTGGAGCTTCTTGCAGACGGAGGCTGATGAGGCTGAGGCCAACATCTAGCCACTAAATGGCTTAAGTAGCTTCTTAGGCTTGGACACGGGAAAGCCCTTGCACTTTCATTCATTTGGTTCCTGGATTTTTGGAAAGTTTGATTTTGTGGCTTTGCCATTCTCCTTGGATTTGTTTGTTGCGGGTGCGAGGCCACAGGCGACGTGGTCGAGCTGGCTCTTCGTCACTTGGCTGCAGCTGTATGCCAATCACCTGACAGTATCAAGGGCTTGGGCTGTCATAGAGAGGTTGCTGCAGGACAGCAACAAGTTTGAACAGCAGGTGATCACAATATTCCCCGTCCCGCAGCTATTTGACAGTAAGCAGGCGTAGGCTTGTCAACCGTGGTGGCAGGATGCCGAGTGACGGCACGTTTGCACCGCATGTGCGGCGGGTGAGGGGAAGCATCCATGGCTTGACACCGGATGAGCATCAATCCCGGAGGCTCAATGATGAGCTTGCTGCCAAGGACAGCGCAGAGGAGAAGGGTTCCTGTATGATCTTGAGTAGAGGTGAACCTTTTACTGGCATTGACTGCTGAGTCCTTGTGCTGGTTGTTGGTGACTGCTTGAACGTTACAGCATTGTCTCAGGAGCTACTACCATGGTGCCAAAGACGACGGGCACAGTTCAATACTGTGCACCTCGTGACAGCGCTGCACCGTATCGCCAAAGCATCCGATGGTGCCAGGGTTGTAAACTCCCAGCAGTTTTAATCATTGCTAGCTGATGTGCATGATGCGATCAGTGATGTCAGCACGGCTATGCCATCAGCTTCTCCTCAGCACCTATCCAACACTGCTTGGGCTTTGGCTGTCCTGGTGGCACAGCACAGACCACTTTGGGTTGCCATCTCCACTGGATCGATTCAGCGTGGGGACCAGCTGGATCCACAAAACATGTCCAACACGGCATGGGCAATGGCCACCTGTGAGCTATCATACTTCCCGCTGCTGACCACGATCTCAGAGAAGGCGATCCAAAAGATAGATCGCTTCGGAGCACAATCGTTGTCGAACACGGCTTGGGCCTTTGCTGTTCTCAATGTCCGCGATATACCTCTCATGCAGGCCATTAGCACCCAGGTTTAGCAGAAGGCCATGCAATGGGAGGTGCAGGAACTGGTAAACTCTGTTTGGGCCTTCGCCAAGTTGGCATTTTGCGATCGGCCGCTCATGCGCGTCATAGCCACAGCAGCAACATCCAAGGCAAGCAGATATGCGGCACGAGATTTGGCAAACAGCGCATGGGGATTTGCAACTTTGGTACTGGTAAGCTTACCTTTGCTCAGAACGTTTGCGCAAGAAGCGAGGAGCAAGATACATGAAGGTGACACACAAGCGATTTCGAACTTGGCTTGGGCATTTGCCACTCTTTTGCACAATGATGAGCCCGCAATGTCTGCCATCTGCACAGCTGCAGTGAGGCAGCTCTCTGAGTTTGATGAGCAAGGCTGTTCGACCATGGCCTTTGCAATCGCTTCGTTTGAACTCGGCCATGAGCCCCTGCTGAATGCAATTGCTTCCCAGTCGCTTGCCCTATGGAGCAGGTCCGACACCGATGTGCCACAGTGCAGGCATGTGCTTGACATGCTGGCTGGTTTGGTGTCCTACCACTCCAGAACCCAAAATTTGTGACATGTGTAAAATGAGATCATTGATCTTGTGGTTCAACTGTTCTACTAATGCCCGATCTTTTGTCTGCAGAGGATTGTGGGGGGCAATGCCTGGATCGTTTCACTCTCCAGGCTCTGAGACCTTCTTGTCTCTGAGTCTCTGAGTGCCAGAAAGAAGTGCATGGTCAAAGTCATGTGAGCCAGAACAGATCGGTAGTGCCGCTACTTAATATTCCGAATGGCGGGACTCCATCCAAACCAGGTGGGCAAAAACGTGGCATGGACGATGTGGTCAGCCGAATCGATGTGCCTTGGGCGATCATACCGATCCTGTGACTTTGGTCGTGTTCTGGTCGGGAGTGAAAGCCCTTTTTCAAAAGGATGGACTCTAGAATCTTTTGCATTTGTTTGCGTTTGTGGTATTGTGGTTGGGTCTCTCATGCAGACTTCAGTCTTGGTTTATTTCTTGCCAATTTCTTGAGAACCGGATGTTTTCTATCCTGCCCCATCGAGAACAATTAAAGCCAATTTTCTTGAAGCACAAGGTCCCACACAACTTTACTCGCTTTTCTATCCATAGTGGAACGAATCACATATGTAATATGTGTATGTGGTAAGTCTTGATTCTTTTTGCAACAGCATCCTTCCACCTTGAAGAATTGACATGTGATTCAGCTCTTTTCAATAAGAAGTCCAACGGAATTAAAGCACCCGTAGATTCTTCCAATCTGACGATTGCATACACCAAGAATTAAGGCCTGAGTTAGTTCAAAAGGTTGGTTGTCAAACCATAGAGAAGAGAAGACACATTCCATGCTTGCTTCAGTCTTGTTTATCACCTTGTTTTACTGCACATCCTCATGGTTTGCTACCTCTTTTTCTTGTAGCCAAGAGCCAAGGACCTGCATGAAGTTCTTGACAAGGAGCAAGAGTCCGATGAGGACCCAATTCGGTTCTGAACTGAAAAACAATGTAGGTGTTTGTGACTCCTTCCCATGCAAACTTTGTCCCCAAAGAGTCCTCAAACTTTGAGCAGATGAACTCACAAACTGCAGGAGCGCCATAGATATTGTGAAACCAAGCTACGGGAGGCGCCTGCCTGGATGATTAGTCTTGAGATGGGATGCTACGCTGAGTCCTAGATGTGACTATGACAGGCCAATGCAGCCAAGTCGAACAAGGAGCGAGAATTTGAGGCCTGGATGAGGGCAAGGCCCTTTTGTTCAAATGAGGTGTTGTGCAATACTTGTGTAAGCCAAGCGCTCACATAGAGTTGGCAGTTCTGTGATGTGAGCAGACTGTCCACCAGCCCATGTCGAGTTAGTTGTGCCGTCGGCACCATATAGCCGAAATCTCTTTGCCTGAGTACCTTCAACCAGCTTCAACCAGCTCCCAGCTTTTGACACTTCACATTGACATTACCATCGTCGTGAGGATGCTACCAGCATCCTGGCCACGTTTCAGGACCTTGGAGAGCATTCCGTATCACGTTTCTAAGCCTTGGTTTAGCCTTTTGAAGTCCAAGGAAGAAGGTAAATGTCTGAAGGCCTAGAGAACAAAAGAACGGGAAAGATAAGAAGCAAGAACATGAGAATACATTCCAAGACTTATGCATGCTCGTTTTGTACAGACCCAAGGGCTACTGTGGTGCTACTGTAGTGCTGAGTGCTACCATGTGCTACCTGCCAGAGCTGAAGTTGGATGTTTCCCATGTCGCTTCAGAACGAGCACGACACCGTACTTGGGGAGATCAAGACTCTGGAGGAGCACATGAAGGACGGTCTGGTCACCTCAATGTGAAGATTATTTGAAGGAGTGTTGAGGGCTTTTGCTGGCTTTGCCAAGTGTTCGTTCTATCTCCGATAGAATGGCACTGCAACATCAAGCTTCTCAAAAATGACCCTAGGCCCTAGGCTGCCAATAGGTCGTGCAAAGATACCCACTAACAGAGTGCATAATACGAATGTCATCGTGAAAGATCATGGTGGCAGAATCAGCAGAGCTGTTGAACTGTTTCCCGAATGAAGCATTGCTCCACGAGGAACTGGATGCTCAGGTGGCCAAGACCACTGCAGCGCGGCAAGCTGAACGGGCGGCCTTCGTTGCTTGACTGCCGTGAAAGACAGCGCAGCGCGCTGCATAGCAAGGCCTTGTCTGGCAGCTTGTCTCTGAGGAAAAGTCGCGGGACACCAACAATGCAGTGTGGTCCTAAGCCTCTGCAGGAAAAGAAACTGAACCAGCTTGGGAGAAGTACCAACCACGGTGTTGTTGCAGGATTCTGGACTGACATGCTACAGTCTTGAGTGATTTTTACAGTTGCCTCACGCCTCACGCCCAAAACAGATCCCAGAGAGACTCCCCAAGGCCTTGGAGCTTCTTGAAGTGGCTGAGAAGCGCCTCCAGCGGCTACTCGGCCCAGAGATGCCACAATGTAAGAGCTCGAGGTCTTGCTCAAGTTCATTTACTGTATATATATATATATCCCGCACTTACAGTCAGTGCTTGATTCCTGACTTTCATTTTGGTGTGATCATTGTGACGTATGAGGTTTTATGCCACCTCGAGCAGCCTCGCGGAAACGGGTGCAACCCAGGCCACAGAAGCAGTGACTTGTGATTCTCTTGATCGCATGGTTGGATGCTATGCCTTTGTGTGAGGCGAGGATTCGGAGAGACCCTCAGGCCCCAAAAGCAGATCTCTCATACCAGAAGCAGGGCTATGGGCTTAGATTCTGGTTGTCCCTGGCCTTTGAGTCTTCATTCTTTTCTATTTCTGTTTGCCGGCTGATTCATGCCACTCCGAGCACGCTCCATGGCGTGTAGAGCGAACTGAAGTTTGGTTCGTATCCCTGACAAGTTCTCGGGGGTGCTGAGTTCCCAACATGGGAAGGTCTCCGTGTACAAGCTTGCCAGTCGGCTTGGTTCCGAGGCCAAGGCTTCAAGGTCCTGCAGCTCTTCACAACCATCAAGGCAGGACACCAGCACCAGATGTGCTACACCACGTTTCGATGTGCGCAACCCCTCGCGAGCCAGTTGGGGAATACGCTCCCAGAACAAAGACGTGCCCCTGTACATATAGTGTTGCTTTATTCTACACTGAGCCGCAAGTCAGGAAGGCCAATATGGTTCAGCTTCAAGATTTCATGCACCTAGCAGCTAAGTCCATCACAACACTCTGCACGCAGGCAGAGCCCTATAATACGACGTTTGTGCTGGGCAGAAGTGTCAACGAACAAAGATCGTGCTGTTCTCAAAATGCCGCACGGAAGGTGTGCCAGCAATGGCCGTCGACTGATCCTGCAATGTCCGGTGCTGTTGAAATGGTTCATTCGCCATCATGTCGCGGCATACAGTCGCAAGAATCCGCAAGCATGACATGTGCTCCGAGTACAGCTCAACAGTTTACACGCGTTTTCACATCAGCCAAGACGCCAGAAGCGATGGGCCCTCCATCCTTCTTCACAGCAACGGCATTCTAACTGTGCCGGCAAACCTTGAAGAAGGATAAGAACAAGAAAATAGAACTATATAGAATTCGGTGAGGTAAAGGAAGCGGAGAAGGAAAGCTTAATTTTCCCCAGAGAGCGTGAGCTATTGGGGTTCTTACTTCAAGTATAGGAAGAGCTGGGTGTGTGCGCTTTCGAGCCCGGGTGCTCGTGCCGCTGCAGGGTGCCATTGCTGTGTGCGCTTGGGAGCTTGGCTGCAGGGTGCCGCTGCAGTGTGCCTCTGCAGTGTGCTGCTGTGCTGTCGCAAAAGTCCTTTTGCTATCTGGGGCCTCTGCTGGCGTAATTTTTTGGATGTCGTCCATGTACAGTACACCAAGCCTGACGAACCAGAGGTTGACGGGCTTGTGAAGTCGGATCGAAATTCGTCGCACAAGCGCAATCTCATTGCGTCAGCTTTAAGCATCCTTGCACGGCTTCAAGTGCTTTCAATTTCAATCGTTTGCTTCTGTGCAGCGACAGCTCACAGTAAAATGAGTGTTTGGTAAGACGTACCTTTGGCATGTCACTTTAATTGAAGGCCCTTGGCAAGACCATTGGGCCTATTTGGCCACAAAAACGAATGTGACCACATGTATCTTTCACAAGACTGTCCTGCAAATAAGGTTAGTGGACTCGACCACCCCAAACATTTGCTCAAGAGAATCTTCAACACATTGGTCAAGACCAATCCCCAGCAATTGCTGTTCACGACAGAACTTTGTGCCATAATGTGCCATGTAACCACGACACAAGGACTCAAGGACACATGTTCCTTAAAATGACCAAGATATTGCTCGCAGCTTACGCACCATCCATTTTTCGCCAGATAGCGGGATCTATTGGGGTTCTTCCATCAAGTATGGGAAGAGGTGCCTGTGTGGTGCTTGTGCTGCTGTCCATGCCGGTGTGCACATTTGAAAAGAGGTGTGTGTGGCCATGTGCGCTTTGGAGCCTTAGTGCTGGTGCTGCTGCAGGGAGCCGCTGGCAGAT